GGGAAAGGGAAGGCTCGTGCTTCACCTCTCCTGCACTTCAGAGGCGATTTCCCAGGTCCATTTGGGACCTACTTCCATGTAGGCATCGGCCATTTGAAGCTTTYTCCAGTAATAATCGTTAGCGCCCAAGGGCAAGCGACAGCTGGAGACCTGCACCTGGGAAATGCGCCCTTGCAGGTATTTGCATTAACACCRGATTATTTAAGGCAGGAGGGCTTGGGAACAGGCCCAGCTGACAAGCCTGTTGAGGACATACATCCAGAAGGCATAGGTRCCCCTGGCACAGCTCTCCAGCACCCTTTCCCAAGGGATCTCCAGCCACGTTCCCTCGGCCGCTCAGCTCTGCCTTGTGCAGGGGAGATGCTGCAGGACAGGGAGGGCTCCCAAGGCAGGAGGAGGGACCTGGCAGCCTGACCAGATTAGAGCTTTTCCAGCCCGCGTCGCCGGCACCCCTGTCCCCCAGGGCTGATTCAGCCTGGAGCGCCTCGCTCTGCTGGATCCCTCTGCGCCACCGAGGGGAGGGCCTGGATCCCATGGACACCGCAGCCCCTTCCCGCGGCCTCGGCAGTGCCGCCAGCGCCGCAGTTCGACACCGCCGCGCGACGTGGGCCCCAGTGCGGCGCACAGGCCCGGGCAGCGCTGCGCTCCCCTGCCTTTCACCATCTTCGCACCGTCCGGCTCCTCCTGCCCTCAGCAGAGCCCCCCAGCCCCAYGCTCCCTCTCGGACCATCCTATGAGTCACCTGCCCCTGATGCCATTGCAGGGAACAGCTCACGTGCGCTGCGTCCCGGATATTTTAAAGCTTTACGTTTGGTAAAGGGCTTTATATAGCTGCATTTTAGCTAAACGCCCCTGGCATTACCAGAGGAGCAGGCACAGAACAAAGCTGGGGCCAGCGGCATTTTGGCCAGCGAGCCCTCCCGGGAGGCGCACGGGGACCGTCGCGCCAGCTTAGCCCAATGGGGTCAACGGCRAGCGTGGAGCTCACCATGAGCCTCCAAGACACACAGGGCAAGGGAGGAAACACTGCTCTGAAAGCAAACCGCCCAGGTACCGAGGCTCGGACTTGTGCATGGGAGGAGTTTTGTTCTGGAAAAACAAGACCCCACAGATTTTAATAGCTTTTCGGGTTGATTTATTAGCRGCAGCAGGAGCTGCTCGCTGCTGACTCACAGTTTCATGTTCCTTGGGCAGGTGCCCACCGGCCTTTCGGCCTCTCCCCCTGCTGCCAGCTCCCCCCAACAGSAGTTACCGGGGCACAAGCACCAAGGACTGTTAGAACTGTGTGTGCTCCCCACGAGAAGGCCACAACTCAGCGTTTTGAGGAAAATAAACCATCCCTAAAGATTGTTCCCACGCAGCCAGGAGCATTTTCCTCACCAAGGAGGAGGGAGCCCCTAYGGAGCCAGGCCTGCAGCGCCCGCCTGGCCCAGGCCGGGGCCCCTTCATGGACACCCTATTCCAGAATTAGCCCAACATTTTGGCGCTCCGACAGCGCCAGGAAAACCAGCGCTGCGCAGGGCTCACCCGTGCTGGGGAGCACCTCTTCAAAAGGAAGGCCTTTCAAAACAGACACAGTATGGGGAAAAAATAGAGGCCACAGGAGAGGATCGGCTGTATCACAGTAAGGTAGATAGCAGCATTTCAGACACCCCAAATTGCCCCAGCACTCCAAGCGTAAGGAAGCCACGGGAAGCCGGGGGCTGGACAGAGCTGCCGCAAGGTAGTTTTACCGGAGGTGACCCTCAGCCACACGCTTCACGGTGATTAAGCTGCAGCCTCAAGAACGTAAACGAGGAAAGGGTGTCAAGGTGGCATTCAGTTCATAACCATCATGTTCTGACAGAATGTTTAATATTCAACCATCTAGGGAGAATATTTAAACATCAAGATATCGAAAGCTCAAGATATTGGCAGGGTTAGTGCTCTAGYTTATGAAAGGCCTCAAGCCCAAGCTCATGTTATACTCAAATATAGCCAGAGTGTACAACTTTACTAGAGGGTAAAAATGAAACTGACCATCTCAAGCCCTGGAGCTTCATCTCAAGGTGACAACAACTTATACAACAYCCATAGGAAAAGCTAACTAAGTACAACCAGTTGATGTGTTCAGCAAGGGACCCTATCCAAGTATTCCACACCAGCAAAAAACAGAGTTGTAAAACACTATTTATAATGACAGAAAATAGTTCATCAGACTTCCACCATGAGATTAAGACAGAATTGACTTTAAAAATCACACTACTTCTTGCCTGAAGCTGGTACTGACTACGCTTAAGCTTTTGTTTCACCTCTAAGATCACTCTGTAAAAACCCAGCTCTACCATTTGTCCCCTTCCAGTCTATGCACATAGGAAGGTCCCYCCTCTATCGACAACTACAGAACTTTAGGGGACCTTTCAAGAGCTTTTTGTTGCAGTCGTTACTGCTCTTGTTTTGAACCCGCCGGTCCGGCACATACCTCTGGACCTCTTTCCACACGCTGGCTTGCAGATACGTCTCCCTTGCCTTTGGGAATGAGCAAAAACAGTTACAGCGCAGCCAAGCCCCTAGTTATGGATCTAAAGATACATAAACACACAAACACATACAGACACACTCTTAAGCACCCCTTTTCATGTTATCATACTTGCATCACTATAGGTTATATATAAGAGTCCCTCAGTCTGTATCRGACACAAGCAACATCCATAATTCCACACAGTAATGAAATGAAACAGCAACTAAAACATGTTATTGTTATTAAAAAATAATTCACCTTTGTAAGTGAACAGAATTSAGAAAACGGGAGGTGAAGAGGACAGTCACAAACCCCACAAATCCCCAGTTCTGTCCATCACAGGCCCAGCACCAGCAGGGAATGAAAAGAGACGAGTTGTTTGTTGAGCAGGCAGTAGATACCAGTAGATACCTGCAGCCAGGCACACCTCAGCTCGGATGCTTTCACGTTAAAGGCACCCCACAAACGAGCAGGCTAAGGGGCAGAGCAACCGTCCCGTGCTCAACCCCATCTCGCACGTTGCACCTGGACATCCGCTTGACTCGAGGCCCGAGGGCCAGCAGGGCACCCCACAGTCACCTGGCAAAGTGCCCGGCAGCCACTGGGCAAGAGCAGCGACCACGGGACTCACTGTGCCAGAAGGAACCCAAGCGCTTATTACGAGCTACGCTGCAGGGCCAGGGCCCAACGCTGCCTGCAAACAGCTCTAGGTGGAACACAAAAATCTTTCCGAGCTCAAGGGCAATATTCAAGCCGCTATCCAGCAAAATCTCCTGCAGAGATCAAAAAGACAAGACGTCAAAATTCAGCAGAGTCAGAATCAATAGCAGGAGGCACCAGGTCCACTCGAGAGCTAAGACGCAGCTGGCTCCGCGCTGCTTGCTCGGACCCTCTGCACACTCACCCTTCAGTTCTGGTTACGCAGACAGGGAGGGGATGTCCTCAAATGAAACTGTTGGGTACAAACTTGCTCGTACTCTTGATGTCATTTTTATTTGCTCTGTCCGTTTCTTACCAGGTAGCAGSGGAAAGGAGGAAAGCTCACACACAAATAGAAAACGAGAAAAAAACCTCAACTACTTCATTGTGTCATCTGAAGTAAACTCTTGCATCAAGCTCCGTTTCCACGCAAGATGACATCTTGGTCGGTATCAAAAGGCACAAACCCCAAAGAGCTTTACTACTGTAAGACCTTGTTGAAATCCAGTCAAAACGCTGTAGGACTTACTGATTACCTGAAGAGGGAAATGAATCCACAGGATGTCATACCAAGTTGCAGGGCTCAGTGGTCAGAAAATTGCAGGTTTAACTGAAGCCAGTGTTGAGTTCACTACTCCCACGCAGGACGTTCTTTAAAATCCAGGTTTAAGACTATCGTGCCCRGACTCCGAAGGTCATGTCCTTGGAATCAAGGGGTTATATTGCACACATCCTAATAGTACTAACGAGACCACCCGCTCCAATGTGTTAAAATACAATGCCTTTTTTTCTTCCCCCTTTAGAAAAGGTGCAATGGAGCCCAAAATTATTTTTTTTTCAAGCTTTTCTGCAGGAAGAGTTCCATTATAACAGAAAGTTTTTACGTAAGTCCAAGCTTTGCTACAAACTATTATTCCAAATTCCCAGAATTTGGGTAACTYATTTAAATTTACGTTTCCTGAGCTAGAAACAGCCTGCAATGCCCGACAGACAGTGCAGCAGGACAAACAAGCAGGGACGATCCAGAAGCACCGCACAGCCCAAGACTTGGAGCACCAAGGAACCCCACACGTGTTAACTGACAGACCCTCCTTGTCTCTCTCCCCTTCCTCCACAGGCTATTTTGCCACATTCTGACACCTCTCTGAGGTTTTTGCACTCATTTTTGCCTTGTTTTCTTACTGTACAGGTTTTGCACCATTTAAGAACGATTCAGAACAGAAGCTTCAAATGTTTATTCTTTAGTCTTCTTAGGCTTTCTAACACACCAACGTTTTGACAGCAGCTACCCAACTTGGCTAGAAGTTTAGTTACATACATTACATATTTTTAATTACAGCTGGAGTATTAAATTTAACATTATACTGCTTTTTCCTTTTTTATGACCCTGTGGCCATTTTATTCATGTATAGAGTGGAAAGCTCTCAGCTTCCTTCCATAATATAAAGACACAAACTACACCAATATCATCAGGAGAACATGGAGTATGAAGCACAAAGCAATTGACAAGTTACAGAAAGATAAATTCACGGCCACTTGTTTCTTCTGGCAATGACTTAAAGGCACAGCTTAGGTATTTGATAAAGCAAGTATGCAATTCAATTTTCACCCAAGTCTCCCAGAAAAAAGAGTTATCCCAACACTGTGAAGGGCCTCAAAGGAACCCACCACAAGTTTTCACCTTCCAGTGCAAGCTGGTCCAAAATCAGTGAATCTGCTTAAGCAGCTTCAGACTCAAAACCTGAGACCACACCAAAAACACCAGTGATCCTTGAGCAAATGTCATGCAGCTGCCCTGACTGATGCTCTATTCAGTCTCTCAGTGAAATCAAATACTAACCCCGCTTCTCCCAACAGCACATCAATTAATCTCCAAGCTGTTTATAAAGGGTTGCATTACACAGACTTCTCAATTTGGTTGTGCTGATTTTAGGGAGCCTTGCTCCACTGCTCCCAAATCACACACACCTAGACAATCTCGTGTTACCACTCAGGAGACAGATCCATCTTTACTTTCACAAGCACAGACGTTACTGATTTAGGGTACGCACACACGCACGCTAGCCTGCTAGGAAACAGCAAAGCCATTAAAATCATTGCTCAACTTGAGATTGATGACAGTGAACAGCAGCAGTTCAGCAAACGGGAGCTTGAGGAGTTTACTTTAATCGTAAGCTGGGAAATAGTAGGCAGGAATTCCTTGCTGTTCAACAGAGACAACCAGAGCCCGCTCGTGCACTGCAGAAGGGGGACAGGCAGCCAGCGGCACCTGCATCAACAGACACCAGAACAAACGGCCCCACCTCCAACACCGAGGCAACACCTCCAACACCAACAACAGGCACAGAGAACACAGTGTAGTTGTATGTCTACTAAGTGCTTCATGGATAGAAGGACGATTGGGAAGTGAATACAACACCACTTTACTGTAAACAAAATATGCCTTTTTAAGACATACATTTCTTACAAAACATGCAAGGAAGTGTTTGAATCCAGCTCAGCACACAAACACTCAAGTCCCTCAGAGGCAGATTTAAAAGCCCGATTCAGCTGCAGCTACATCATCAGAGACTAAGCTTCCTTGAAGGTGCTAACATTTAAGGATCAAAATAGAGTATGAATATCTGCCTTCGTTTGACTGAAGATTAGCTGAATAACCCTGGCAACACCCTAAAGGACCTTATAGATGGAAGATGACAAGATTACCAATAATTTGCCTTTCGCTCTACTTTTAGAGTGGAATGGAACACATCATCTTACACTGCACTCCAAACCAGAAGGCCAATTCCCTGTCCTCCTCCAAAATTTTCTCCAAACCAGCAAACCAAACATATCCACAACTGCCACAGCAGTTTTCAGGCCCATGAGAAAGCTTCCTCACATTACAGGAGAGACCTAACAGCAAACCACCTAAATCTCGACACTCATTTGTTCTGTGGCCAYGTGTCTAGCTCTGTTGACTTGTACTTCAAACAGCAATTGTATTTTAAAAGAAAATCACTCACTTGAACACTTGTACTTCATTTCCCACATGAAACCAGAGAGCTTTCCATGTACTTTTGAATTTCTGTCAATGTGCACAAAATCAAGAGAAAAAGCACACAGCATAATCAGTCAGACCAGCTACTAAGAAAAAAACAGTAGCCACATCAAGATCATTTCACTTTGATTAAGAGTGCTATCTAACAGGTTTATTAAAAGTTTTAATAAACATAGTAAACTATAGCTCCAGACTTGATCTTTCTTGGAAGACACACTACATTAGAAGAAGCCATAGCAGAGACTGCCTCGTCACAATAAGTACAAATACTTGCTGTATGGATGGAGAAATAAAAGGACAAATCTAGTTGTCTAAAAGACAATTCACTGTACACATTTTATTTACAGTTTTGTACACTGTCTTAATATGAATGGGACCGCTTTTCTACTTGAGCCATTTTAACCAAAGCAAAATAACCTAAGGAATACAAAGTGTTAAAATACAGCATAAGATACAAAAACAGACATACTATTTCTAGTAAGGAATGTAAATTATGGTGTTACATTTAAAAAAAATCCACAATTATGTTTAGGAAATCACACAAACAGATCACTGATTTGACTGAAATGCATAAATTTGTAGCAAAGCTTTGATGTTACAAAAAAACAAAAAAATTACCAAAGAATGCACAAAATTAATGTTTATTCCACCTTTGTCATATTCCCAGATTCTTCACCAATGTTACATGAGCAAAAACAACTGAAATCAAAATATCACTAATGTTATCAAATAGGGAAAACAAATAAATTAATCTAGCAGCCATCAGCATAAGGTTACAGCAAAGATGATGCTGTATAAAAAAATTGCTAGAAAACTGTATGCACCATACTCTTTCCAAACCGGCAAAATGTTACTGCATACAATGCAAATGTAAAACAGAGTAATTTCCTGCAGGTACAGAAATGCAACTTCTTTTCTGAATACTGTGGATAAACAACTGCTTTTTTTGGGTTTTTTTTTCTTGTAATAGTAACGTTTCTACCAAGCTATTACAGAGTGGGCCAGGGAAAACCTTTAATGGATTTGGGGGAAAAGGGGAGGTGAAGTGTACTGGAATTGATTGGTAACGGTTACTTCAGCCAAAATAGAGGGGGGGGGGAAAAAAAAAAAAAAAATCGAACACAGAAGTACAAGACAAAGGCAAATGAGACTTCTCACACATYTTAGCAACATTTAGATGGAAATCAAATTTAAATGTAGTCCACTCTGCTTTTGAAGAGGCTTTGGTTCAGCTCCCAAATCTCGATTGCTTGACGCAGTCTCCTATGAAAGAATACTCAGAAGGTGTCTTCTTAAACAACAAACCTATTTTTAGTGGTGGAGCCGCTCTTAGTAGCTGTGTCTGCATGGGACTGATAACCAATCACTATCTTTGGAGGAAGTCCTAATCTTTCCTTGTATACTCTCCTGGGGGAAAAAAAAATACAACAGGTTAAGCAAAGCTCTTAGGAAAGGATTATAGCAGCACTATCTACTTTTAGATCTGATAGTGTCTAAAGAAAGACTAGTTACCCATTTAGGAACAGCTTCACAGGTATGAACACAAGGCATCACATAGGATTTTTCTAGTTTCTCGTATCAATTTTCAGTACACACCGCTGCATGAAAAGCAACTTAACATAAAACAAGACAAGGTCTTGCCTCAAAATAGTTACTAGGCCTGCATAAACGTAGAACATTTAATTCACGGGGATTTTACAATATCAGCAAGTTGTATTCTCACATATAGCAACAGCACAGCAATAAGGAAACACTGTCCCACCTTTTCAGCAGCATTGAGACAGTAATCTGAACCAAATAAAAAGCAATTCCCTAGAACACAGCCAGTTTCATTACCCCACAAGCTCTAGTCGCTCACACTAGCTGCCTTTTCTTTAATTACATACAGAAAGCACTTTTGTCAACACTTTAGCAATGTCAGACCCCACTGAACTCACTGCGGTCACCAGCAGCTACTCCACAAGAGCTTTCAGGAATAAAACAGCTTTGATCTTGGGATGCAAGGGGAAGCAGCAGGAGCTCTTCCTTGCCCAGAGATACACACTGCACATTCTTAGTACAGGACATATACCTTAGAGGCAAAGTTCCAATGTCTGTAGGTTTCAAGTTCTAAGCCATTGGACAAACTCTCTCAAATGCAGCATTAACAATGCCATTCAAAATGCACTCAGTCTCCTAAGTTTGACAGTTAGTCTGTATCTGCAAAGGGTATATAATAGTGCAGCATGCCTGGTTCTGACCTTCTGTTTTCTGACCTCCCTAGTCAGAAAAATATTATATGGGAATTAAATCCCTACCTTAAGTAAGGCAGCCCCCAACGGATCCACAATGACCTAGCTGACAAGCGTGTCACAGAGGTATCCGTAAACACAGAGCACTGGCCAACTACCACACCTGGCAGTTAAAAGGTATGGCCTGAAACAAGATTTGCTCAGCTGGGAAGCCAACCTATGCAAACCACCAAAAATATTCAAGAGGCCTTCAGGGACTGTAGAGTAACTTCAGAGTATCAGTACTACAGCGTGAAGAGTCTTCAGGCTTTAGCAATGCTTACTACCTAGCAAATGTGAGTATTATCTTGAATTTGTGCTAGGGAAAATGCATAAGTTGAGAAGAGATGATTGTTTTCTCTTGGCAGAGTAAAGGCTAAAGCGCTATTGCTCATGTTAAATCCATGAAACAGCCTAATTATTTGGTTTGTATTTAAGCAGAGACAAGAGTGTACGAAAACATCTGCAAGTTTTAGAACAGATCACTATCCAGCTTACCTTCAAGTACAAAGACACTCTAGTGGACTTAATTTACAGTACCCTCCCTCCCTTACCTCTATGCACCACCACTTCCTTAGAAAAAGCTAAACAGTGCCTTACTGGCACCAAAAACCACCACACACTGACAAGCTGTAATAGGATCTACGTTACTTGGAGGCCACTTACAATGCCTCGTTCCGAAATGAAAAGCTTTTGCCAAGACTTGAATTCCATTTTTCATTCTTCCCAAACTACAGATTAGTGCACAGAAGTTATGTTACTAACATACAAAAACTACATACAAAAACGCGAACTATTGTGTACAGAATTGCTTGAACTTTGGATACAGCTCTGTATTCCTCTGTCTGCTTTTATGAAAGAGCATTTCCTTGTACTCAAAATTCACTTCAAATACTCAGCATGGAGTCTCATATCAGGTAAACAGGCTGTCTTTAAATGCATTTAATTTCACATATGTATGAGAGAGACGGATTGCGCTACTTACCCTATATGCGTAACAGCATCCCTGTTTTCACATTCAGTTGTCCATATTGCTATTTTATCACCCTTAGTTCTAACATTAACAACAGCACCACATACATCATCGCTGTAGTCATCAAACGACTCCCCAATAAGGCACAGCAGCTACAAAATAAAGAGGGAGCATTAAAAGGCAGCAGTTCACAGTCAGAACCCAACTCTACACAGAAGGTTTCAGTGTCCATAAAACACTTGGAGGACTATTAAATTTTATTGCTAATAGCCACCTGCCATACAACAAGAGTCTCCTTTTTATCCAAGTATCGTTTCAACAGCCAATGTTATGAGCAAATGTAAACTCAGTTGTAATAGATTTTCCTACGATTTCTTTTGAGTTTTTCAGTTTTTCCTCCTTCTGTCCTGGCAGCTGCAACCTTTAAGTGATACAGTTGGTCATTTACGCAGTGTCTCCCCCACCATAAAATCTAAAAACATGTAAAAATAATATTTAATGATTTTATCCTAAAATAAACTTACAAGCCTTAAAATATACATAGAAGAAGGCTCAAGTTTTAAGTGTTTACATTCTTTAGCTTGGAAGAACTTATTAAGAGCTACTGGTACAATGAGCCAGCTACCTAAGTTCTGACCTGAGTTCTAAGTATAACAACTCAGAAATAAATTAGGTTGTCAGTTAAATTGAAAGTGCTATTTAATGAAATGATATTTCTTGGCAAAACACTTAGGAAGCTTCAGAGTTTCCACAGACTGTAAAGTAGAAATCGGTCATCAAGAATAGTGCTGCAAGTCCAGAACGACTATAATATGAGATTTCTCCCACTGGATCTCTAACAGTAAAAGTTTTAAATGGCATTGGTGCTATACCTCAGGAATTGCAGATTAAGTTAGGTCACATCACGAAGGGAGTGCTTAAAACCTCTGCTTTTAAATTTGTATATAAATAATTTAAATACTTAAAATTGAGAATTTCTGATAGAAAAGAAATTCATCTTTTCCCTTCTGTACTAAAGTGAATACTTCAAAGTGCAGGAAGACTATAAAAACGGAAGCCTGTTTACTTCATTTGCATTGTGCATGTTAGACATGCTGTCGATAGATTAATTTTTTTCCAGAATTGCTTTTGCTATTTAGAAATTCAAGACTATCTTGCAACATTTAGAACAAAGCAGGTCTTTCAGCATCACTGACAGCTGCAAGGGCCGACTCCACCAAGGAAGTACCAAACGGACAAAGGGTGCTACTTAATAAAGTATGTCTAATTATACTTGGTTTAAATGTTACACCCAAATGCAGAATGCACATATTAGCTGAGTAATGAAAACCAGAGAAGTTTAAGCTCAAGCCACATACAAACATTTACAACATCCTTGGTCAAGATCCTTAGAACAGATATTGTCAGCGTGCACTATCATGCCCAATGGGCACTGCAGGCAAGTACATCCTTAATGATCTCTGTATAACAAGAGAGTCACTCAAATGAAACTTGCACTTCAAAATGGTAAAGGTTGAGTTATAATAAAATTATGTTCCACAGGAGAGTGCGCATGGAAGATGCTTTTGATTTTCGTAAGAAAAAAGCTGATTATAAAGAACTGCTGGTATGAAAAGCAATAAGGCTGCTCCAGTGCATGTATCATACTGGTCTTTGGGCTCTCTGTCATTACTTGCTACTGATGAAGAGTTAAGACTTCCAGCCTTAAGTCTATGTACATGCTTTTCAAACCATGCAAAACAGCCCAGAAAGTTGAAAGGCCTCACACAGGCATTTAAATGAGGAGACCAAATCAACAGAGCACGTGGTCCACTTACTCATGTGCAACCACATCACCTGGCAGGATAACACCCATCACCCTTTCTTATAATTACATCCTAAAAACACCCTGGTAAGTGCTGTGGTATTTTGGTCACCTCTGCTTTGATACCTGAGAGTCATTTTTCCCCTCTCTAAGGGGTAGAATATTTCTTGTTTCTTGAAATGGGATGGGGAAAAAAGCAACATCAGAGATTCGGTGAGATTGTTTTGCCTGGGACTGGCTGTAACCCAGACCCCCGTAACTCACATCATCATAGCAACTTTAGGCTGTCTTGAGTTGGCTTCTGGACACCACAATCCTATCTTTTCCCAGCACATTTAGTGCAATCCATATAATCTCTAGAAGCATATCTATGACTAAAGAAACATATTCTAAAAGATAACAGCAAAGAGCTAAGTAAGAATTTCCACAGTGAACAAAATACTGCATTATTACTCTACTCGAGTAGAACTATTATTTTAAGTATTATTTTCTGGTAGTTCTACAGTTATGTCCAGCATGCTGCACAGCAAAGGTTAATCTGCCCTGTAGAATTATCCTTATTTCTGTCCTTTATAAGAAAGCATTCAATGACATACAGCTAATTTTACAGTAAATGTCACTACCTAAAAGTTTCAAATACAGTCTGACAGTCAGAATACACAGAACAGCTGATGTTACCATCAGTCCAGTTTATAGCACACAAGAACACTAAACCAATTTTAACATTAAATATAAATTAAATTCTTAARTTGCAACATTAAGCTGATAGTGCTTACTGTCTCTAGCCAGAAGCGATCAAGGTCACTTCTTCTCTGCTGCTTATTTAGTGTAATTAGCCACCGTCCTCCTCGCTTATTTTTCTCATCTTCCCACATGGGTTCAATACCATCCTACAAAGCACAGGAAAAAATAAATCACTTCATTTTAAGGGATAGTCAAAAGACAAGTTAAATCTGAGACAGTTACTTAAGAAAAAAATAGTTTGAGATACATACCTGCTCAGGAACAGTCTCATGCCAATATCAAGATTAGCAAAACTGGTTTAAATAGTGCATCTTTTCTAATGAGCTTTTATTTCTAGAAAGAACTAGAACACTAGCAGGAGTTTTGACTACATAATATTCTGTTAAAAACAAAACAAAACAAAAAAACACTGCGAGAAGAGGCCAAGTCAAACATTCATTGAAAATCCAATGGGTACAAATTGAAACACAGGAAGTTTCATCTCCATATCATTTGAAACATAGGAAGTTTCATCTCCATATGAAGAACTTTTAGAGTGACAGAGCCCTGGAACAAGCTGCCCAGAGCACTGTGGAGTCTCTTTCTTTGGAGATCTTCAAAACTTGGCAGAATGGAATCCTGCGTCACATGCTCTAGGTGTCCCTGCATGTGCAGGGAGGTTGGACTAGATGATCTCTAGAGGTCCTTTCCAACTACAACCATTCTGTGATTTTGTGATCCACTTTGTACTCTATGAAACTAGATAAAATCAGTTACATTCCTGAGACCTTGTTCTAACTTCCGGCCTTGGGACAGTTTTGGCCAAGCGCTTCACTTGCATGTGGAACAGGAATGCTCCCCTTGAGAAGGGCAACCTCATCAAAATGCACATCCTGGAATTCTGTCTCAACGGCCTCCCACAAGAGCACAGTGAGAATAAATTTTTTTTTTTTTTTGGTTAACTACCAGAATCAGGCCCTCTCCAAATAAACAACAAACAAACAAAACAGAAAAAAACCCAAAACTTCACAAAGGCCACTTACAAACACATCACATTCTGATTTGTGTCTCAGCTGTCTTGCATTTAATGGCTGTAGACATGCTCAGTCAGCAGACAGCTGTGACTCTACCAGTTACGCTGCACTTCATAAAATAACAATTTAAAAAAGGCAGGTTAACCACCTAAACAGAATAAACCTGCAGAGAAATGTCTTCATGGTAGTTTCTCTGCTCTACAGAACTTCAGGCAAAACCTGATGAAGTGCTCAGTAACATGGAGGACAGAGGTGGTGTCAGTTCACTTTCTCAAATGTACAGTCCTCACAGGCAGCTGCGCAGCTCAAACTACATCACCTTGAGAGGAACTCTTAGGAGGTCAAGACTGAAGGACAACAGCTACAGATCTCAAAGCCTGCAGCAGCTGCCTCTACTGCTGTACCTGCTGCATGCATTTAAACCATTCAGTTCTGGCTGATAGACAATAAATCAATGGCAGAAAACATGCAAGTAACTCACAGAGGAATTTGGAATTCAGACAAAAGCATTTCAAAATAAACATTTAAAAACAACCCTGATCAACATATATATCTTAACAACTGGAAGTCCCACAGCTACRTAAGGTTTCACTATTGTTAACTCCTCAGGCACCCAAAATATTGTTACCTTCCCAAGGCCAAGCATCACCGAGCCTCCTCATTGCCTAGAGCTCCTGGGGTTTACAAACTGTGCACAGAGCCTGCTAAGGAATCCCAGTTGCTGGCTATGTTTGAGAAGCAAAGGAGGAAGCAGGCACTGGTATTTAAAGGGATAACCCAAGCATGTGAATCCAAACCACCTGTGTGGTAGAAGCACTTGGTAGAGGTCAGGATTTAACCTAGGGCTCTAGATAGGCTCTCCACTGCAGACAAGAGGCAGGATTTCACATAAAGTTTCTCCTTAACTCTTCCTATTAGCTGGTTTGAATGCTAAACTACATACCTTGGCAGGTTTCAAGTGTCAGTCCTGGGTACAGTTTCCTATTTCATACATAAGGAACCAGGACACTTATCTGAGGGTGCAGAAATCACAGGGGTTTTGTGCACCCTGTTTAGTATTCTTCCTAAAGTACAGGACTGCAGCCCCTTGAAGCCTCCCAGCGACCTTATAAGACATTATAACTCCTTTGATGTCACACCAAATGACAGCACTGGAAAAATCTTCCCTCTTATAAAACCACACACGAGATTCGAGGTATATTTGCACAAACATCCCAGAGCTAGAAGGAAGATAAACATAGCATCAGGTAAAAAAACCTTTACAGATAGCACGTTTTAAAGTAGTACTTGTATTTTCAGAACTAGTAATCAGACTGATTTTGAGGGATTCTGCTTGAGACTTTCTAAAAAATTAACTTTCAGAAATTTACAACTGTGTTCCCAAATACACAAAGCAAAATATCTGGATAGCATCTTGCTTTGCCAGGAAGCCATCCATCAACACCCCAAACTCCATTACAAAAAGGTTAGGAAGCATACCTTAAAGAGCGAGTAGTCACAACCAGGCATTAAATTACTAGAGAGCTGGATATGGTTGTATAAACTATTGGAGGAAAAAAGGAGGATTAAAACTAAGCATTATCTTAAATCTTTAAGAACTTTGTATGTTAAGATATATAACTAAATAAAAAAAAATCATCAGCATTAAAGATTTTTAAAAGCAATCTTATTAACTATTAACTTTACAACAGTACAAAGCATTACTTTAATCTCTTAAGTTTAAAGCAGAACAGAAAATAGCTTATGAATACAGGCTGCATTCCTGTATTACTGCATATTCCAGAAATCTTGTTACTTTTAAAACTTATTTTGAATAAAAATAACTGAACACACACTTGAAAACTTTCAGGGCAGCRAATAAAGCTGTGGATGTGCACATTTGTATATGCATATGTATACATACACACAGAGAATAAGGATATTTCTAAGGCTATTCTTTCTGCAAAGAAAATTTAAGAGGACTGATTTAACTTGATAATTGAATAAAATATGCAAAGATTGAATGCCATATACCTTCCTCTTTAAAACTGAAATATGGATTCAAAAGACAAGAACAAAACAGAGAACAAAATGTAAAATATACGCTCTATTCAAAACTAAACTCACTACTAGGAAATTAAGAGAAAAGAAAAAGTCAAAGGAGTAGTATCCTCCTGTGGTATAGTCCAAGTAGGACTAGTTCCAACAACTGGAAATCAGGCACAGAAATTAGAAAGTAAATTAGAGATTTTCCACTTCACTCACTCCTTTAAGTTCACCTTATATTTCGGTAGTTCCTCCTTTAAACATATCTATATCCCACTCTGACCATGACAGATGGCACAACTTCTCAATTGTGATTTATTTCATACCTTGACTGGAGACATCGAGGTTAAGCACTTTTAACCATCCAGTCAGCTCCTGGTTATATGAGCTCAAGACTTACCCATAACTAACTCTCTCTATAAGTTTAAAAAAAATGTCCTCTCCCCCCAGATACCTCCAGGCTGCAAAGTACTGTTCTTTGTCACCTCTATAGCAGGGATATAGAAGCTGGTTACAAGAACAGAACACTATTACTCTCCAATGACTGCACAGATAAAACACTTGTCCAACACCTCTGGCAGCTATTTCTTCATTTTTGGTATTAATAAGGCTGATGGGCCTTATTTTCCCAACAAATGGGCATGCATTTGAATGCAACTTAAGTATATCTTTGGATGGCACAGGTCTTTTTTCTAAAGCTTTGTTCTTGCTGTTTGAGCCCATTCTCATAGCTTTCGCAGACCTTCAACTCTGCATGAAAGCAATTTCTTCTTTCACCTCTAATAAAGTTCTTTCAATGATGTTTTTTTCTTGCCGATCCTAACTGAGCCAGCAGTCAGGGACAATTCAACCAAGTACAGAAATCTGAAGGCCAAGATGTGCCTATCGATTCCTCTGAACATTTTACAAATTCACATTAGTATCAGATAGCTACTGCAAGAATACAACTTTCTATATCTTCTATGTTTTGTATGTACAATTATACACAATGCCCACAGCAAAATGTGCTTTAAACTGTAAAACACTCATGATTAATTTGAAGGCTGTGTAACTGGCAAAGATATCCACTAGGATTATTATGCAGATTAGAAAAATTTACTTACGCCCAGAAATCTTCAACAGTATCAAACTTTGAGATCAGACGAAGATTTGCTTGCCAAGTTTTGCTCTTGTCATTTTTAAAAAACCAGAGTGCCCATCTAAAGAAAACAAGATAGATGAGTATATGAAAATTACATTAAAAATAAGCTGTTATCAGAAATTACTATACCCAAACTAAACGTGAACTCAATAGAGTAGCATAGCAGACTACTTGCAAGAGGCGACACGATTCAGATCTCCAAACCAATTCTCAAATCAACTGTATTTTTGTTCCAGTTAAAAGAATTGTGGGAAACTTGACCAACCCATTCAGATAAGTATCTTAAATACTTCTGAAAGAGCAATTCCAATGCTCTAAACCCCTAGGCCTCATACATTTCTACTTGTTGTCACTTGTMAGATGCTATCTTCTATCTTGAATCCCAAATAATGGTTATAGTCTATAATAGTGAAAGCTATTCAAATTGAGAGCTCTCTTTCCAGTAAGTTCTTTATAAAGGTTAGGAAAGCTAATTACCTCATATAAGTCCAAAACCTATAAATACCATGAAGCTTTCCTAAATATTCACGTAGCAGAAGGTCGTAGTTTAAAAGAGGAAGTTGCTTTAACCTTACAAATAACAACACTTATACAATTTCCAATTTCTAACCTCTATTTTCTGGTCTGTATGCATGAAGGTCAGACTAAAAGTTTTTCACTCCATGCTCAACACTATTCTCCACTAAACACAAGTATCGGAACACTACCATAAACCAAACCATCACACATACTTGGAATGAACAGGGGAGATACTCTTTGTTGGTCTAAAGAACGTGACTTAAAATGCTGGAAAGAGATATCTGATAAAGCATTTACCATATAAAGTCATATTTCATTTTGACAGTTTCAGCTTTGCCATAAATTAGACCTTGTTTTTTTCTTCTCTCATAGGAGAGTACTTAAGAAGTTGCCAAGCATCAGTCTATTATTTTGAGTCCTTTTATGACTTGAGTATTTTCAACCTGACCATTCCAGTGCTTTTCAGCTTACTGGCTCTTGGAGAAGGCAATTTTCTATCTGTCCCATTTGAAGCACCTGCATTTTAACAGTGGATTATGTGTCCCTTTAAAGGGATTCAACTTGGAACCTTAAAAATCTTTATGGCAGAAGGTCAAATCAAGGTTTTCAAGTACAAAGCTTCTTGCTAAAACTCTTGGTAAGAAAGCTTGGTTTTTCTGTAGTTTTTCATAACAATTTTTGCTCCATGTTTCAGGCAAAAGCAAAATTATGTGTCTCATTAATGATACAAATATGCATTTTAGGGAGTTTATTCTGCTGCACTTCCTAAAGGTAATGACAACTATTACTGTATGCACCCACATCTAACACCTTAGCTGATGGATATGGATTCTTGCATAGCAGTTTCAAAACCAAAGTTAAGACTAGTTTGACCAGAACTAAGAACAGGGGTCTTTTACCTCTGACACTTTAACAGGCAGAATGAGGTGTTTTTTTCAAGTTCTGCTTGGCAGCAGCCTTACCACAGGTATCAATTCTTCTCAAGTAATCAGGCACCATAAGCTCTACTTTCCATTATCTGGCTGCAGAATTGCCTCATGAACATTTGCAAGACATTTCAATTTCTATAACAATAATATTTGAACAGGCTTTAAATTACAACATGAACAAATTCTATTTTCTTTCTAACTTTATTCATGGTAAAAATCTCAAATCCACCATTGAAACACCACAAAAATGCTGCAAAAAAGGGTATGCAAGGTATGCACAAAACAAAAAGCTTTTAAAGCCACAGGCAAACTTGATTCTTTCACAAAATTACCATTACCCTTCCAAACTATTCACCTGTTTTGTAGTGGATGCTTAATATACTGTTCAGGGCTGGCAACCTCCTGACTAGGTGCTGTAGGTGCTGGCTCGGTTTTCTCCTCTTCTGAAGGCTGAGGATTGGGAGTGGTTTCCTGTTTGGAAAAAAAAAAAAAGTTAATAATTCATTCCTTTTCCATTTCATTAAAGCAATTTATTTTTTGAAGCAACTTTAACAAGGTTGAAACTAAGAGCTCCTCTAATTCGTTCTGGTTAGTCACCTCACAGAAGCACAGTATTTGCATCACTTTATTCATCAGCATCCTAACAGGCCTTTGATGCTAACTGCAGAAATTCATATTCTGCTGCTCATCCATTAACTTCCCGTGCCACTGCTTCCTGCATGGTTTGCCTAACATCTTGTTTTAAAACACAGCTCTGAGAAGTGTTTTAGGAATACAGAAGACACTTGTTTAGAATATGCATCCCTATAAATTAATTCCCCAGTAATAATTTCAGACGAAAGAWAAGAATTACTTTCTGTCCCATTTCAGACAAAGTATAACTCAAAACAAATATACAAACCACATTTATTCAGAAGATTAATATGTCTACAAACCCTAAACAGGACTACAACCCTCAGCTTTAGAATCTAAGTGTTACTGTCAGCTTAAAAAAGAAAAAGCACAAATACTTCAAATTAAGCTTTCATTAGACATATAATTTATCTTAGATTAAGCTGATTCTAAATGTCCTTTTCAGAATGCTAAAGAAAGTGCTGGAGACATCAAATATCCTAGCACCAAGTGACATAATATATTCTCATCGCATGTGAACCCCCCAAGCTTGTGATTCAGTTTCAAAAGCCACTGTGTCAGGTTTGAAATTCTAATGCCATTCCTTCAAACTAGAGAACACAATGCTTTATTGTGAAGCCAAATGTTCCCTCCAGTTACCACCATCTCCCCTAATTTGCAGTCCTTGCTAGAACATTGCAGAGATGAGGAATGAAGACTATAGCTCATTTCCCACTGTTAACATATAGAAAAAGGCATCTTTCTGTGTGCAGCTTACTCTGCACAAAAACAGCACTTCAGTAACACAAACATGTTCTAACTACACCAGACATAAAAACTCTAGACATCCCTAAATGCGGCAATACAAAAATAGTACTCAAGGCTGAGCTTAGATCTTGTGGTCTTAATAAAGCAATGTAAAAGTGGACTAAATTATGCTAAGACATGCAACTAATGGAACAATTTCCTCAAATCTCCTAAGTTTTTCAGGTTAGCACCATCTAAGCTGCTGAAGAGTGAAATAGATCTGCAGTGATAAGAGAAACTTCTTTGCCTTCACAATGCCAGCTAGCCATTATAAAAGAAAAATCCCTATTGAAAATCCAGATGATACGACTCAACGGGGTTTTCCTTTTATAATCAACATATTTAATTGTATTAAATGAAATGTAATTGTATTACATTTAGTTGTATTGTGTTTTACTCAAAAGAAACGATATCATTAAGCTCAAAAATAATCAAGTATCCCCTAGCAAAGTTCGAAAGCTCAAAATACTACATAAATCAATTTGAAAAGTGCTTTCACATGCTCCTCTGTTCACAGGGAGAAGACTGAAACACAAAGGCTCAACAAAAGCTCTGACAATTAGGATACTCTTTTGATTTATAGCTCAAGGGGCAGGTAGTGTTGCACGATTAGGCTTTTCACACAACAGCCGCACAATTTCCTACCTCTGTTTTTCTTACTAAAAGTCAACAAATTCTGAAACTGAACACTTTCTGAAGTGTTCAGTTAGACACATCACTGACAAATTCACAGTACTAGGCAGTGTTTTAAAGACTCTGTCAAATCTTGGTCAGTGCAACATACACCAAAAAAATCCACAGTTCTGGAAAAAAACAAGCGGAATACCCATAAATGCTTCAACTTTGATCTCAAGCAAAATCCCTAGTACACTTAAAAGAATCCCACAGAAACTAAGACAGTCTTTTCAAACATACCAAACAAACATTTTCACATTTCCTTCTCAAACAAAACAGTATTCTGCATTACATGACAGCATGGCCGCAAAGTTCACACAACGACAACTCAAGGACTTCTTGAAATAAGACAAGCCAGTTTTACTTACAAATACAAAAAGCAGAAAGATGTAGCCAATATTTCGGGGGGGGGGGGCGGGAGAGAAGAAGAAAAAAAAAATCACACACTAGATGATGTGCTGTCTGCTTTTGTTCACAATACTCTACACTATTTTGCAAATATAGTTGGAAATGGCAATAGATTTCCTAAGACTATTACTCTAAGATCTATGACATCAAATAGACTCTTGATAAATGCACAGTCCTGAGCTACAGAGCATTTCATTCACACCTGGCTCAGCAAATAGCCTTCCATATGCAAAGAGATAATCCTAAAGTCTTCCTGATTACACACACTCAGTCTAGATTGTCACGGTACTTCTGAAAGGAACAGTGCAAAGCTACCCAGCAAATGCAAAGCTAACAAATAAATGCAATTTCACAAATCTTTAATGCAGACAACATTGGAAAGGACTAAGGTAGCACCTACACAGAAAATCTTAAAAAAAAGCAAGCAATGAGCTTCAGTATCTGCCCAGCGTACCAATAATTWCCATTCACAAGGTAACTTATTGATATTCAAAGACTCTACCCTGGGCAAACAGAAGAGATTTGACTCTGCACAAATGTTTTAGTTGAGCCACTACRGTAACAAGCAGCTTACGATATTCTTAAACAGCAGTAACAAAACTCAGCTTAGCCACTATTTCAAGYGGTTATCATAGCCACCTCACTTGCAACGTCTAGTTAACTATCATCTTGACACAGGATAAAGTGAATCTCCTCAAAAGTAGCATAAGATTTTTCACCACAAGGCTGACCATCAAGGATAAGCTCAGCTGTGCAAGCTATAACAAATCTGGAAAAAAAGCGTGAAGTTGGAAACAGATCTTTCTACCATAAAGTCATTTTCTAGTTGTTCACGGATACAGGCTTGATAAAGTCAGTTCACTACCTTTTATCTTCCACTGCCATCCTGGGAAAGAGAAATAAGGACAAGCACTTGTAAGGAAAGATCATTTTCTTTTTAGCTGGTTAATCATACAGCCTCCCATTTCTTTCTCTCTCATACTCTTCTCCCTACTCTAAACACCAAGCCCAGGTATTTACATAGTGAAGCACTCCTCACCATTAGTCTAACACCAGGTGTTACTAACCAGATGTTCACTAACTGGCATTCAAAGTTCATTACTGGTCTCCAACTACTGGAATCATTCAACAAACTACAAGAATGCAAAAATAAGGTCATAAATTATTCTGTAAATATTGTATCACTTATTGTTATATTACACATTTTTCCAATTCAGACATTGAAATCTGCCAAATTTCACTACACTAAATTATTATGGACTGTGAGATTTTAAAGGATCTCACAACCCTTTAGTGCAAATATTAACATATTCTTTAACCTAAAATTGGCTTTCAGCCTACTATTAAACCAAGTCATCACTACACTTGCTGCTTTTTAAATAGATAGAAAAAAATAAGGTAGCACGACCAGCTAAACTGGAAGGTTTCATATGCCAGTCCTTCTGTTCATAGAGCATGTAATTAAGAGCGACATTTATTCACTACCCACATACTTTTTGATGTAGGAATCAACCTGCAGAAGTCTAGGAAACATTTGCCTACTCAGCATTTGACAACTGTGCCTATCTGCACGTTACCCGTTTCTGACACTTGAGGATTTAATTGGCACCATTACTCTTTCTCCACAGCGCAYCATGACCAACGTATCAAAGCAAGGTGCATGTCACTGAGACAGGAAATAAACAGCACCTCCAGTCAAAACTGCTTCATCAGGTTTGACACTTTGGGAGTGCAGCTCGCTTGACTGGGTTCCTCCAAGTGCTTTCAGGTGCTGCCCATACCACATGCACGTCACCTAATAGCCCATGGGAGACGGCTACCAAAGTGACAGGTTCCAAAAGCACGCAACACATCACGATGATGCATGCTGTGCTAAAATGTAGGGACCCCACTGCTAGATGAAGCTTCCAAAGTTTTCTTGAACTAAGCCAAAATAAGGTGGATCTGACAGCTTTACCTTCTTCTTTAGTGTTTCCATCAGAACGAGAAAAATGCATTTTCCAGTCATCTCATGTATCACATAGAGCAAACGTAATTTATATCCTAGTGCTTGTGCTTCTTGAAGGTAATTATTGCTACATTACAACTAGAATAACAACTCATGAATTAAAAAAAAATAAAATTAAAAAAAAAGATCAAGATCTCTGTATAAATAAAACACTCCAGACAAAGAAAAAAATGGGAGGTGGGAGGAAGGACTTAAATACACCCACATGCACATGTTGCATGCTATATTAAACTGAAAGCAAATGCACTATTCCTTTGGCGAGCAGGGATTCAAGAACTAATATGCCAGTCTGAGCAGTGAACAAATATACAGGGGGGAAAAAAATATAAAAAGTATGCATTTTACCCACTGGAACACAAGTACCAATAGTCACCTGTTACAAATTATCCTCAGTTCAAATGACTTGAGGGACATAAAGCATCTGATAGTTATTTTTGCCCCCTCTTCCCTACAGCTTTGACAAAACAGATATAAAACCATCTTTTAATTACTACAAGTCTGAAATACTTTGAGCCACTCTTTCAAACAAGCACAATATTTTATTTCCTCAGCTGAAAATTTAAGATATTTCCAGTCTTTAGAAATTAATTTTAAACAATGAAGACACATTCAAGCTTTCAGGCTCCAGTCACACACACAAAAAAGTACTGGACATACCAGCAGCAGAATTACTGAAAAGCAGACCACATATATAAATTATTCAGATTCACTTCACGTGAGAAAACCTGAAGAATGCCGTTTAAAAGACTATTAAACAACTGTTCTCCACATTTAGACAAAACATTACTCAGTTGTAGTTTTTCTGCCTTATGGCTGCTGTATTAAAAATCAAGGACAAGTGTAATTTTACAGCAGTTAAAAACCATTTCTACTCCTTAGGGGACTCAAATCTGTTACTAAATGAAATTCCATACATTTAGTATGTAGGAACATTTTAAAAATAACTAGGTTCCAGGATTTTTAAGAAATGAGTAATCTTAAAAAGTCTCTTTAAACTCTTAGCTTTCAAAATATAATTTTAGAAATGAAAGACAGATTTTGCCTAAGGAAGATTYATCTGAATTCACCTTTAAATACTATATCTCCCCTTATTCCTGATAGAGATTTGAGCTACAGCAGCTCACTACCAATATTAAGGCAAAAAGATTTAGTAGCAGACTTTAGTTAAGTCTGAACTTGGCCCACGCTTAATTCACATACCAAATCCTTGTTGCTAATACAGAAGAAAAATCTTTCAGCATATCTTTAATTCTAGGAGTATTTTGAAATAAACCTCTCAAACTTTTGCGGCTGTACACTAGTTTGTAGGGTTTACCAACCTTCGGAAACAATAGTTTCATTGTAAAGAAATATTATTCCTAAATATTACCAATCTGCAAAAAGGTGGATAAACAAGTGGTTCTCAAATTATACATTAGACATAAATGAAGAGTTTCACCTACATATTTTACCTTTAGAAAGCAGAGTTAAATTCTAAAGTGTATTTGTTTAAATACAACCACCAAAATGCACCATAGATGCATAAAAATTAGAGAACCACAATGCCCACTTTCCAGATAGGGATAAAGGATAAATGCTCCCATAAAATTAATTTTCATGGGCTTTCTAGTAACAGTCTTTGCTTAGATAAATTTTAAAGTCACCTTTGGTAAACTACTGTTTACTAAAGCATTACTATTAGCTTTGTTCTTGACTTTGTGGACTTTTGTACACTATTATCCGATAAGCCTCAAAGGCTCCAAAAGTGACCACACATTAATCTTGGAAATATAGAACACATTCCTGAATATTCTGGCAAATTCAGATAGAACAGCTTTATAAGCAAACCCTGTGTGGGTAGCGAAAGATAAACTGACAATTTTAAGCTTTCAGTTTTGCAAAGGTTGAAGGTTTTTCCTGCACTGGAGATGTGAATCACAGAAGAACAGGTTTATCTTTCCTTACAGCAAGCAAAGTGGCTTAGTGGCTTCCACGGTGCCCTTTAGAGCACCCCAACCTGAAGCCTCAGCATTCCTAACTAGTTCCCAGAATACCTGTCCATCCTCTCAACACTTCAAATTTTATAATATAAGTGACAACAAGAAGGTATTAGGAAGAAAGGAAAAAAAAAAAAAAGAAAAAAGAAAAAAAAAAGATTGATTTCAATAGTATCCTCATTCAGGGGAAAAAAAAAACCCCACACATTCATTAGTGCCTCGCATTGTTTCAGATACCTTTTCAGACTAGGGAAGCAACATCCTAAGTCATCTACTATYGGCCATACAGGTCCAAAAGGGGTACCTGACATTTCCCTTTTCTCTCATTCCCTCGCTTATCTCCCCCTTTAAGTATAAGAACCAATGAAGCAAGGTTACTTTTCAGTTACATAAAATACTTAATGCAAAGTAACTCTTACTGCAAGAAGTTTACTATAGAAGTAACACATCTCTTCAAACTCAGGTGCAAGTTTTGCACCAATAGAAAGGCATCCACAAACGATCAAGCAACAATCCAATCCCTAAATCCCACATACAACTAAATTAATCAACTCCAAAACATGTATTATACTTAAAACATCAACCATCTATGATTTCAGTCATCAGGTCAGATCAAATTTAAGCTTAGGTAGGAGCGTCAGCCCCCTAAAAGAATAAAGAGAAAATATATTATTTAAATGCATCTGAAAATAACGACACATAGCTGGCAGAACAGTCAACATCAGCCTTCCTTAAACTGTCTGAAGCGTTGCCTTGTCTTCTGCTTTTACTGAGTCAGAATGACTGTGTCACTCCGAGTTAAACCACATTTGGGAACTAAACCTGCTAGCAAAATTGTGTAGCAAAACAAATTGCCTATGTTGGTCTAACTTAGGCCTTAGATCTACTTCAAAAATGCAACTACACAAGTATATAAAAATAATGGAATAGCAGAGGGACAAGCTTATGCCAGCACTGTAGCCAAGCGAGGCACAGAACCAGGCCCTCAGTGTAGCTGCAATTTCCAGTGGGTATCAGCATTACAAATAATTTATCACACCTGCCAAGCCCTATGACCATCGCTAAACACCTAGGACACAACATTCTTATCTTCATAAACATAGGTTTAAGCTTAGAAATATCAGACATCAAAAGTGAAAATAAATRTTTGAGACTATGGTGAAAAAACAGGGAAAAACTGCTGCTGGAGGTGCGCCGGGTCACTGCCTAACAATCCACCTTCTTCTGCTTCTGAACCAATAGTCAAGAAATTTACATCTGCTGGTGATTTTTGGTCTTTCCTGTAAGTGAACTTTTGTTCYTGTTTGGAGAATAAAACTGTAACATCATTTGCATCCCTTAAGACCATCTCCTTGGCAAGCTACAATGTCTGTATTTAAAAACTGAGTTGATTTCTCCAGTTAAAATTATTTTCCATCTAAAGGCCAGATAGAGCCTCTCCAACGTGGAWGCTAACTATCTATTGACTGCAAGGCAGAAGCAGCCAGAAGTTACCATAAGTTTCTCCTTTTCTCCAAGCCCCAGTACAAGGTCGTCCGCTGCCCATCCTCCGTGACACACAAGTATGTGCAATTACACTGACAATTACCAGCTCACAGCCAGCTCTGCCTCAACCCTGCAGGGAAGTGCAGGTCGGGACAATAATTATGAAACACTGCACAGTTTCACAAACACGACTTAATACGCAGAGAGAGAAGGAAAACGTTTAATTAGGCATGTCACAGAAGCGACCCTATAAAAAGTTTAAAAAAAAAAAAAAGTAACACGAGTTTGATCCAGAAGGGCACCATCAGCCAAAATAAATAAATAAAAGCAGGCCAGAAGACGCGTTCCCGCTGCACATGGGAGCTCCCCAGCCACGCCGTTCGCTTTATTTCAGCGGCCACGCAGCTGGGGCGGCTCGGC